GTAGCTGGATGGGGATGGCATGGGGTGGATGGAAAGGCAAACACATGCAAGAAGAAAGAATATGAGTGAGGTAAAGGAATGGAGAGTAAAACCAGAGGGCAGACTCCTGAGGTTGAACATATCTATGGAAGCAAAACTCAAGATGACTATAAAGGCCAGAATACAGATTCAGGGAGCAGTTTTGAGGTCCGGCCTGAACTGCTACCTGCGGTAAAAATTTCATACAGAGATTTCACTGCATCAGCGGTCCATGTGAAGGGAGAGAGAAAGGAGGCTCAGGAAAGCTAAACACAGCAGAAAGCTGTACTGCCTGCATTATAGCCAGAGACTGATGCAAAGAGGGTATTGTCAAACCCCGGAAATGGTGGCTAAAATCAGGGTGGCTTGTCCAATAAGAAGGGGAACCACAGGGGAAACCCAGTTACTACTAGAGATATACATGCGGCGAATGGAGTAAGACAAGAAAAAGGGAAAATAGCCAGACATTTCTTCAGTGCATCCCCGCCTCGAGGCTCCCACAATGTCTGTCGTTGTAATCTGCTATGGAGTTTGGGAATGTAATTTGCAAGAACGAGAGCCCCCTACAAAACAGAGCAAAACAGTCCAGAAATTAGAGAACAGACCTAGACATGAATAATGAGAAGAAAGGCGCCTGGGAACCAGGAGGTTACAGTCACTGCCTGACCTTCCTTCCCGAGGTGAAAAGATCATGGTGATGAAGACAGAGTACTGTGGCCCGCGGCCAAGCAGCGCAGCAAAGATCACTATTTCCAATGACTTGTGGGGCTGAATAAAGAAGGGAAAGGTGCCTTGTGCTGGCTGATTTAATTTGTTAACTTGACACAGGCCAGGATTATCTGGGAAGAGGAAACTTCAACTGTGAAAATGCCTCTCTCAGACTGGTCTGTGGGCAAGTCTGTAGGGCATTTTCTTGATTTATGATGTGGGAGGGCCCAGCCCATGGTCCTGAGATCGACAGATAGATAGATAGATGATAGATAGATAGATAGATAGATAGATAATTGGTAGATAGATAGATTTAGGGTGAAATAAACCCTTTCCTCCCCAAGTTGGTTTTGGTTTCTGTTTTATCACAACAATAGAAAGCAGACTAATACAGTTTGTGGTGGTTTCAATAAAAATGGCCCCCATAGGCCCATAGGGAGTGACACCATTAGAAGTGTGGCCTTGCTGGAGTGGGCGTGGCCTTGTTGGAGGAAGTGTGATTCAGTCTCCTCCTGCTGCCTGCCAATCCCTATGTAGAACTAGAAGCTCCCCCCCATCACGTCCACCTGCACACTACCGTGCTTTCCACTTTCCACCATGGTGATGATGGACTAAACCTCTGAAACTATAAGCCGGCCCCAACTAAATGCGTTCCTTCATAAGAATTTCCTGCTGTCCTGGTGTCTCTTCACAGCAAAAGAAACCCTAACTAAGACACGGTTCTTGGTATTTCACAAACCCATCCTGGAAATAGCAAAAGACAGGTAGACCCCAGATTTGTGTGCCAGCTCAAGTACATACTAACTGGAGGATTAGAACAAGGGACTTTGTCTCTGGGCAGCCTGAGTCTGCAAAATGGAGACTACACTGACCTCAGCATGGTTGTTAAAAGCACTGGATGAGAGTATTTATAAAGCATATCACCCAGTGTGAGCTACATTCTCAAATGAAGGTCCTAAGAAAAAGGACCCTCTGAGGTCCTGGACCAGGCTTTCCGGTAACCTGCAGTTAGCTGTCAGTCAGAGCTACAGCCATTGGAGCAAGAAGGTCCACACCCAAACTTGGTTATTGGAAGCTGTCATTCAGTGATTACCGAGGGCAAAGGAAGGGCAAGCTGCCCTTCCCCCAGCTGCCATTGAGACCACCCCATTCCTGTCCTGGGAGATGACTGTCTACTTCCGGCCGCAGAGCTCTGGCTTCTCAGCGATCTGCCCCAGCCAGAAGTCTGTGCCTGCCAACCTGGAGAGATCCAAAGAGTGCTTTCTGTCCTCTCCAGGGGTAGAAGTGTGCCTCTTAAATAGCACCAAGATCAGCCACCTGACAGCCTCTGTGACCCATTTTTTATGATTGTTTCTTACGTGCTGCTCATTCTGTCTTTGTGCAAAGCCCTGAGGCATTCGCTCTATTTGACAGGGAGGAAACTGAAACTCTGAGAAATAAAAAATAGAGCCAGAAATGGAAATGCATACCTATAACTTCAGCCCTCAGGAGCTGGAGGCAAGAGAATGGGGAATTCCAAGCCAGCCCGGGCTTCATAGCAAGACCCTGACACACAAAAAAATAAATAGAAATAAGACCCAAGTTTGAAGGGATTTGAACAATGTGGTGAAATTTTTCTCAAACTTGGAAATAAGGAAAAGAGATTTCTGTAGGTCTTTAGCTGAAAGTTACACTAAAACAGTGATACTGAAGGGAGACAGTTTTGTCCCAGACACTCCAAGGGACTGTGTTGCACTGTCTGGAAACATTAGAGTATTGCAACTCAATCTGGAGTGGATGCTACCGCCATCCAGTGGTTAGAATCTAGGATTGCTGCTAAACTCAGACCACCTGGGGACCCCGGAAGCAAGGAAGTCAAAGGGGTCACCATTGAGAAATCCTACTCAAGGTCAGGTGGGGCCACGTTTGCCTTATTCCGGACTATTAATTGTGTCACCGGGGCATCAACGTAGAACGCTGTTTTCAAGCCTTCGTCTTTTGTCTCCAAATCTAACCCGAAGCAGCACAAAGTGTGTAGAGTCGTCAGCAACAGGGTCTTACCATCATGTTCTGGTGGACAAGCAAGAGAAATGACAATACTCTGTATTGTTGGGAAACCTTTTGGACCAACAGCTTGTGGGAAGGTATCCCACACCTGGCTTGTTTTCAAGAGGTATAAGAGTTCAGCCTCTTATACCTCTCTGATGAATTGCTAACATCCGTCCAGTCGTGGTCCTGAGTTGTGTGAAAAGCAGGCTAAGCAACCTGTGTGGATCGAGGTAGTAAGTATCGCTCCCCTGTGGTCTCTGCTTCCGTTCCTGCTTTGAGTTCTTGCCCTGACTTCCCTTGTGTTTCCATGAGAAGTACGTTCCTCACCTATGGATGCTATGCTGTGCACACAGAGCTGCTGAGCCCAGAAAGCCATGCATGTCTCGATTACACCACAGAGCTTCCCTGAAGGACAGGAGCTACAGCCACGCCAACTCCCCAGTCAACACAAACAGCCTCTAAGGGCTAAGGGTGGAGCTCAGTGATAGAGCGGTCGCCAAGCATGCCGGGGTGTGGTGGCACACACATTTAATCCCAGCACTTGAGAGGCAGGGGCAGATGGATCTCTTTGAGTTTGAGGCCAGCTTGGGCTACAGAGCAAGTTCCAGGCCTGTCAGGGCTACATAGTGAGATCTTGTCTCAAAAACAAACAAAACCCACAAATAACATTTTATTCCAGCCACACCACCGGCCTCTTTCTTCAAGACCCCTCACATAAACAGCCAGGAAGAACTGTGTGGGTTTTTGTTTTGGTTCGGTTTTTATTTTTATTTTTTGTTTTCTGAAATGAGAGCCCTCTGCCAAATGCTATCATACAGGGCCCCAAAGCACACGGCTGGGAGCCATGACCAGCAAGTAAGTTCCAGATTCCTTTCTTCTGGAGTTTGCAGGTTTCACAGTTAGCAACTGTTTGCTTAAACTAGTCCTGCTCTTTTTTTTTTTTTTTTTTTTCAAAAGAACTTCACATTGGCCAACTGATCCAAACACCTTGTGAATCAATTGGCAGTTTTTGTTTTGCTCTGGTTTTGGTTCTTTGAGACAAGGTTTCTCTGTGTGGCCCTGGCTGTCCTAGAACTCCATCTGTAGACCAGGCTGGCTTCAAACTCCAAGAGATCCGGTAGCCTCTGCTGGGATTGAAGGCGTGCACCGCCCCCGCCTGGCATGAATCCATTCTATGTCAAGTTCATAGCAGTGTATCAAAAGGCATGCCAGAGTCCGGATACAGACCCGGGTGCTCCCAGTCTCCTGAGACACAAGGAGCTGTTCCAAGCTCCTCAGTTAACAAAGACACGTCCTTGGCAGACCGTAGAGAAGAACGCTCTTGAGCCTCTATTATCAATTATTACAAGTTAAGTGCACAGGCTTACAGTTCCCCAACATGAAAGTCACTGGCTGGAGGCCCACCCCAAAGGCTACTGCTGCTTCAGAATCCATACATATAGGCGATGTGCTTTTCATCAAATCCACGTGCCACTGCCAGCTCCTACAGAACCTCTCTGCCACTTCTCCCAGTTCCATGCGCTTTTTTGTTTGGTTGCTTGGTTTTGTTATTTTGAAACAGGGTCTCACTATATAGCTCTGGCTGTCCTAGTACTCACTATGTAGACCAGGCTGGCCTGGAACTCCCTCTGCTGGCCTCTGCCTCCCAAGTGCTGGGATTAAAAACCGTATGCCACCACCGCTCGGCTACTTTTTTTTTTTTTTTTTTTTAAACTCTGAGTCCACTTAGTGCTGCCAGTATATGCACGAGTGTAGGACCGTCCGCTGGAGCAAGGACAGCCTGTCAAAGGCCACATCCCAGAAGAAAACTGACCTTCCTTCATCCAGTAGCCATCAGCAGCCAATAGCTCCTCAGCTGGGCGTGGGGCTACTAAAGGCCCTCCTCCATCTAGTCAGCCTGGTACATCTAGTGCTTAAGAGACGTGAAATTTGAAGTTACCCGGCAACTGGAGCTGTTAGAATTACATTTTTTTTTGTTTTGTTTTGTTTTTTTAACAGGGCTACTTGTTCATCAAGGTATCTTCAGAATCGTCCACTGTCACTCTGTAAAATGGGTATTAATGAATAAACTCTCGGAGGTCAGTCGTTTGCACAGTCCTGTTGCCCAAGGGATGCGTTCCAAATTTGGCACAGAGCAGGCCCTGGGCTCTCATTAAACATGCACAGCGCGGTGCCGTATCTGCGCGCAGGAGCCCTGTCGCGGCGCTTGCGGGGCACGGCCACCAGGTGGCGCCACCGAGTGCGCGCGCGGGGCGGAGCTGCCGCAGAGCGGGTGCAGCATGTGGGCGCTCGGAAGCCGCGCAGCCGCGGGCCTGCTGCCCCGGACGGCGCTCCGGGCCTCGGCGTTGGTCGGGACCCCGCGCGGGAGGGAGCCGATGGCAGCCAGCGGCCGCGGCCGCCTCCACGTCACAACCCACGCGGCCTGCGCCATCCGCCAAGCCGTGAGTACGCGCGCCGCCGGGCCGCACTCCAGAGCGCAGGCCGTGCGCCCGCCCCTCCGCTCGGGGACGCGCAGCGCGCACGCGCCGGGAGGGCGCGCGTGGGGGCGGGCAGGGCGCTCGCGGCGTCGGCGCGGGCTTCGGTCCCTGGCTGTGGGCACACGTGCCACCGGGGGTCTGTGCAGTCTTGAGTTTCGGTAATTAACACACGATGTTCCGCGTGTGCGGCAAGGTGTGTTTATTATTATGGACTCGCCGAAGGCAGCGCGCAGAACCATGGAGGCCTGGGCTTCCGCTCACCGGTTGCCTTTTCGTGGCGTTGGACTAGCGGACTAGCGGAGGAGCTTGGAGTACGGCTTTTTGTTTCTTTGTCTCACTCTCTCTGACTAGCGTACGTAGTTGGGGCTGTGTACCCCAAACTTGTGATCCCCCTGCCCCCTGTCGAGTGCTGGGGTCACAGGTGTACCCGCGGGGGCCTAGACTCCAGCTTTTGGAAAGTTGAGACCTTGACTCCGCGGCTCTGGAGAGTCTTGGGACCCTGGGGGACCCTGGCTCTCTGGGGACAGGACTTGGCTCTCTGTTCCCGGGAGATTAAAGGGCGACACCTATTTTGCGATTTTGGCGGGAGAGTTAAACTATATTCACAGAGACATTAGCACTTCAGATAAGTTCTTGGTTCCTGGAAGATTCAAAGAACGGAATAGGTCACTCCAGGCTTTGAAAAGATAGCCCAAAGGATAGCAGTGGGGAGAAGAGGCTTCCCAGAGAGGGGCGTGATAGACGCCAAAGAAGGGGACTAGGGGAACATTCCAGGAAAGGGAGCGCTGTGGACAAAGGTGGAGTAGGCTGCGGGCTTAAAAAACTAAATATATATGGCAAGCCCTGTAGCTCCATAATGGGGTAGTCACTTAGCCTTCCAGAGACCCTGAAAAAGTTTAAAAATAAACAGAAGAGGGACGGTCACAGAGAGACAGCTAAGATTTGAAGGGCAGGACCCAGGGACCACCCCCACCACCCATACACACACCCGCCTTTCTCCAACACTTTCCCCGGGTGTTTTCTGCCCAGTTCCGCTTCCCAGCCACGTTAATTCTTCCCTTGCCTGGAGCCTGGCCGCCTTTCTCCAGTTGCAACTGTGCGTTTTGGATCTCTGCAATTATGTGAGCCTGAGCAACTTCCTCTTTGGCGTTTCAGTTTCCTCACCTGTAAAATACAAATACAGTCCATCTTGATCCTCAGATTCCGTTCTCACTGGCTCACTAACATGGCCCTCAGCTGTCTACCTTGGTGCTCTTGCAGTCCTTTGGAAGGCTCATGGAGGGTGTTCTCAGCAGTGATCAACCGAGGCAGAGGTCTGCTTGCTTCCGCTGTCACGGAGTGAGCCGATGTCCAGCCTGCTCATGACATGTTTTTCCTCGCATTGATGTACTAGTTGGCGACTTTGTTTTTCGGAAGTGGTCCCCAAGCGTAGAGCCATAGGAGGCCATAGTGAGACTGTGATAGGCCTTAGAAGGAAAATGTGTGGGAGATGTGTGCTTCACTATGCTGCTGCTTCAAGTTCAAAATTAATTAATCAATAGTATATATTGAATAAAGTGTCTTTAGACAGAAACACATACCAAACAAGACTGTGCACCAAACATTTGGTGCGTGTGACCCTGAGACTTGCAGGGAGACTTGCAGGAAAAGGGGTCGGTGCCCTCTTCTCCCCCGAAGGGCACCTGCACACATCCATATATGCAGGTGCGCACACACACAATTTTTGGGGGGAAGATGGGGCTGGTTTTTCAAGACAAGGTTTCTCTGTGTAGCCTTGGCTGTCCTGGACTAGCTTTGTAGACCAGCCTGGCCTTGAACTCATAGCAATCTGCCTGCCTCTGCCTCTTGAGTGCTGGGATTACAGGCATGCACCAACACGCCCTGCCAAAATATATATATTTTTTTAAATGATGAAGAAGTTCTTCCCTTGAGGGAAGAGGACTCCATGATTGCATTCAGCTAAAGAGAGCAGTTAGAATAGCTTGTAGCAGCACTAGTCTGGAGAAATGTTTTGTCTGGTGCTACACTGCCATAGCCACTTGAGATGCAGCCAGCATAGCCGTCTTAGTGTTCTGTTGCTGTGAAGAGACACCGTGACCAAACATTTCATTGGGGCTGGCTTTCAGTTCGGAGGTTTAGTCCGTTATCATCATGGCGGGAAGGATGGAGGCACACAGGCATACAGACAGGTATGTGAGAGTTCTACACCGGAATCCACAGGCAGCAGGATGAAAGTGAGGCACTGGGCCTGGCTTGAACATCTGAGACCTCAAAGCCCACCCCCTGCCGGTGACACACTTCCTCTAGCAAGGCCACACCTCCTACTAATGTCACTCCCTGGTTACCAAGCATTCAAACACATGCCTCTTTTGGGGAGGGGGGGGCATTCCTATTCAAACCACCACAACTGAGGACCAGATTTTGTTTTATCTCAATAAATTCAGAGAGCCCTTGGTGTCTCATGACTGTCCTATCAGATGGCACCAGCTCAGCAGAGAGTGGGTGGGGGTGTGTGTGTGGGGGGGTGTTCCTGAGATGCTATAATTGGTTACCCTCAGTATAGAAGTGTCAATCTGTAAGCCGTGTAGCCTGGATCAGTGTAGACTAAGATGTGGTAATGAGTGTTTTTGATTTCGGCTTTTAGAGTTTGAACCTTCACTACCTCGATCAGATTCTGGACATCAAAAAGCAGAGTGTCTGCATGGTGCATTTGAGGAACTCAGGGACGCTAGACAACCCAAGGTGAGATGAAATTGCCTTCCACCTCAGGCTTGTCTTCTTTTCCCTCTCCTCCCTCTCTCCTCCCTCTCTCCCCATACAGAAACGATTTCTTCCTGGGAACAACCCTGAGTGACATTGTTCTGAGCGACATTGCATCTGCCATTGTCTTAGTTATGGTTTTATTGCTACGAAGAGACACCAAGACCAAGGCAACTCTTATGAAGGAAAACATTTCATTACAGTTTCAGTGGTTCAGTGCGTTATCATCATGACGCATGGCAGCATGCAGGCAGACTTGGTGCTGGAGGAGCCAAGAGTTCTACATCTTGATCCAAAGACAGCCAGAAGGGCACTGTCTCCTGCAGCCAGCCAGGAGGAGACTGTCTTCTGCACTGGGCAGAGGCTGAGCATAGCAGACCTAAAGCCCACCTCCACAGTGACACTTCCTCCAATAAGGCCACACCTCCTCATAGGGCCCTCCCTACGGCCAAGCATTCAAACACATGAGTCTACTGGGGCCAGACCTATTCAAACCAACACACTCCTGTTACTTTTAGTAACTGCTGTTACTGTGTGGGCATCCCGGACTTCCTTTAGTTCATCCCTGTTGTTGGGTATTTAGGTATTTTTCCCAGGGTTTCTTACTTCCTCCAGCATCCCATGAGGAAGGCCATACAGCTAAAACAAAGAGACCTCAAATGCAATGCCTCTCCAGGCTGTCCAAGGTTAGCTTTCCACCATGACATGAGCTGGGGAGCCTTCCTGCTGCCTCCAGGCTAGCCCTTAGGCTCATAATTTGTTGTTCGGGTTAGACTCCTGCCCAGGTTCCATTGGGTAGGAAGATTTGGATGCATTGAAGGGCAGAGGTGTCCACAGGTCCAGAGATACCAACCAAAGGCACATGGGGGGTTGCTGTAT